AATTTTCTATTAATGTATAATATAAAAGACAACAAAATTTTTAATTTGTAAGATCTCCATTTGGCTCTGACGATTATCATATTTCCATCGTGCAGGATGTTATAATATAATAGAACTAAGCCTTTTTTGTATATTTCTTAGATTTATAAATTAAATATTTTTTTCACTCTAAGGATAAGCAATATCAAGTAAAAGCTTTAAATAATATTAGAATTATTGTTATAATTCTAATTATATCTTTCTTTTACTAATGACGATTTTATTATAATTTTGTTATAAAATAAATAAAATTTAGTAAATAATTTAATATTTTGTAACTGAATAAAACAGCATTCTAATTGTTAGCGATTAATTAGTATTTAAAACACTTATTAACAAATTTTTTTCAAAAATATCAGTAATAAATTGTAAAATTCATTGATACATAAAGAACTAGTTTAAAAAGAAAACACATCAAAATAAATAAATCTCAGCTGGACAAAAAATATTTTTTTTCTTAAGGAAAATTTTTTAAACGATAGAGAACAAATAAATAAATTAAGAGAAAGAAAATGAGGAGGTCTGTAAATCAAATATACAATAATAATTTTTTAATATGCAATAATAACTTTTCGCTAATATAAAATTAAATTCATAATCAAATGATTACAGATAATGTTGGATTGTACTAAAGTCATTTTGAATTCAGAAAAAAATATAAAGAGTAGGAATATTTAGTAATCTATGTACTAATGAGAAAACACCCTAAAATAGAAGAAAGACAAAGTATAGAAATAAAAGATAAAGAAAGTCCATGGTATGGAGATCAAAAATGGAAAGTTATCTAGAGTGTATAAAACAAAGAAAAGAAGTTGGAAGTGAAATAAAGACGCCGTAATATTGGTAAGTTACAGATGTCATCTTATTTTTTGTCATCATCTCTCTTTCATCTTCTGTTATCCCTGTTCGATTTCAGCTGTTTGCTAAAAATAACAATGAATACTTTGATTCATTCGTTTATTTCATCTGTTACCGTCGCCATTGCCTTCGTCATGAAATTGAGAGGGTCGTAAAATCGAAGACGAAAAGGATCTATGCATGTATATAGTAGATAGGGGCAAGATTAAATAACTAGATAGTGAAAAGTAGAATTATTGAATCACAAAATCTGCACGTAATATTCATTTAACACAGTTTCAAAATACTCTATTTTGCATTCTTGTAGTGCACTCTTTATATCTAATTGCCTATCCCCCCACCCCCGTTCACTCCCTGTTTTATTCTCTCTATCTATATTCTTGATTCATATGCTATATATATGTATATATATCGCAATCTTTGTATACGTCAATCTCTTCATATTTATATCTACTGGTAAGTTTGTCCACTCAACATTGTTACCACTACTTTGTCCAATGATCATCATCCTGGTCAACTTATAAGATTTTTAAGTAATCTTTGGTGTTCAAATCTGGATATTCGATATTAATTATGATTAAGTAATAATTGTGATAACGACAGCATTACCTTATATACCTTCTTATTCCGTACTTTCTCACTTTTTCCATTTATATGCAGTATATTTATATACATAAATTTAAAAAATATACGCTGTATTCCAAAAAGTATGTGATCACAAGGGTACATTTAATGTACACTTATTTCAGTACTTGGAGTGATGTTGAATAATAACACAACTTTGAAAAATAAATATATTTCGAAGTTGACATCAATAATTTTACAATACAGTAAGAAACATTATTGTCATAGATATGATTATAAATAATTTTTAAATTAATTTTATAAAGTTATATATAATTTAATATAAATAATATTTCTATAAAGACTTTATAACTTTATTTTATTTATCATTCTAAATTTTTCTTACTAAATCAACAATTAAAATTTTTTGTATAATATTCAATTAGCAAATTTTAAATGATTAATGAATGAATTTGTATATATAACAGTATATATAAACATATATAATAGCTTAATAAGAGTAGTATGGTGTTTTAATGCATTAAGTATTACTAGAATATTAATTTTAAAATCAATTTAGCCATTTGTACTTATTAATGTTACTAATTAGTTTATAATCTACAAATTTTATAAAGTTGTAAATAAGAATAAAGTAATAATTAAATACTACGAAATCTATTCATATAGAAATTGATGCCTTCAAAATATTTAGATATTTAATTATTCAATAAAAATACTCTAACTGTAAATCTCATTATCATCAATTTACTCATTATCCAAGTTAAGTCACCTGTACACAGAGCATATTACTTAATCAATATAATGTGCATCTAAAGATAAATAACTATAATATTCATAAAAATCAAAGAAAGGTGAAATCAAATTAATCTATCACGATTAGGGTAACGATTATATGGGTAAAATATAAAATAAATTAAATAAGAATGTTTAGATAAAGCAAATGGAATATGAATTTCTCTAACTTGTAGTTGAATGCAGGAAGTGATTATTCGAAGCTTCACGTCGTTCTTTTATCTCTGTAAAAACAATTTTATGGACATTAAAGCAGAGTTCTAATTGATTATAAATACCATTTAAAAAATTTTTTTATTAGTTGTAATTTTGTGTAAGTTAATTGCCGCTAAGAACGCTGAACACGTTTACGAAATATTGGTATTTAAATATGAGATTATTAACCCGTTTTCTCCCCTCATTAACTTTTCTCTACCAAAGCTTTCAGAACTTTTTATAAAATTTCTTTTATGCATTTTGCATTACTATTAGTTTATAAAATTACACAAGCAAAATGATGGAGCGACAATCATCTGATTAATAAATGAAACTATGTTCATTGTTCAATCTTTATAGGCTCGTTGTTTTGTTTAACTCATGTACTGATGTAATCAGATGAAATAAAATGAAATGAAAAATTGTAACAAATGTTATATACATAAAACTGTTGTATTTTATCATAGAATTCATTATTTCAATCAAGAATTAATTGATTCAAACCTGTATATGTATCAAAATATTGTTAATATGATCAAATGCATTTTATTCCACTTTTACTTTTAAAATAAAAAAATTTATAATTTTACTTCTTTATTAAATATATATGAATAGCAGATCAAAAATATTTAATTATCATACTACATAAATAAATTATATAAAACAAACATTGTACAATATAAAATTTTTCATAAAAAACATGTATATTTAATATATATATTTAATATATACATACATATGTGTAATTAAATGTAAATAAAATAATAAGAATATAGTACAATAAATGATAACATTAAGAATATAATAAGATTCTATTTATTGAAATAAAATAAAAATAATTTATTTGCCACCGAACGGAAATTCATTTATAAAAAATTGATTTATGTGTGTTCAAAATTTACTTTAAATATTTTTATAAAAAATATTATTAAGAATTGTATTAAGAATTATCTTCAATAACAACTTAAGATAATATCCAATAAAAATTGTATAAAAATCTCTTACAATTTATCTTTGAAATCTTTAAATACTAAGAATCTTTCTTATACAATAACTTAGAAATGTATCGCTATATCATAAATCATATACATATACTAGACATATGTTTAGTGTAAATATTTAGAAAGTATAATTGTACTAAATTTGTTAGTGATTAATCATATCATATTAAAAAAATTATAATTTTGCCATTGCAATTATATAAAATTTCTTTATTTTTAAAACGATATTTTGTCTAAGCATTATATATACGTTCGGGATTGAAGCAGTTGAAGCAGAATTTAAAATTGGGAAAAGTACAAGCTCCTGGGCGCTTATGTTTGTAAACACGATTCAGCGAATTCGGGAAATTTCCGATCCATTAAGTATGGTAGATATGTTGACGACATTTTTGATGGTGCAGACACCCCACAGCAATTAGTTGAAACAGTAATACAGCTGCAAGATCTCTGCATGGTGGGCGGTTTTTTATTGGCAAAATGACACTCTACAAGAAAGGAAGTCATCATCGCCATAAGAGTAGCTCATAGCCCGGAACAGTAGATAACATTCAGCGACCACACAACAAAGATCCTCGGATGACAATGGAGGCCTCATGAAGACATATTCGCCTTTTCAATATCAGTATCCCTACAGACAACTGTCTTATCAAAACGCACAATTCTATCAGATATTGCCAAGATCTTTGATCCACTAGTATTCGTCTCCCCAGTAGTAATAAGAGCAAAAATGCTGCTCCTAGAGCTGTGGCTCCACACTTTCAAATGGGACAATCCATGACAAACCAAGTCGTTGATCGATGGCATACTATTAGAAGGGACTTGGCCGAGCTGAACGAGATAACGATACCTCGATGGTTCAACACAGAAGACTCATGCATGGCTACGCAGACGCATCTCAATTAGCAATGGCCGCAGTCATATACATGTCTATTCACAACACCAATAATAAGAATGTTGTATTTATATGCTAAAAAACAATGGTAGCTCCACTCAAGAAGCTCACAATCCCAAAATTAGAATTAGCAGCTGCGTTACTACTAGCAAAACTCATGTCACATATCAAGACCACACTAAGTATGAATGTAAGGACTTATGGACTGACTCTTGAGTAATGTTAACACGGATGAAATCTCATGCAAGAACTTACATCAGAAGCACAATGGAAAAATGTGCCAGGAACATCAAACCCACCAGATTGTGCATCTTGGGGACAAACAACCAAGCAACTTAAAGTTCACCCATTATGGTAGACTGGACCAACATGGATAAACACACCAGACTCCTGGCCAATACAATCTGGCCAACAGAAAGTGATAATCAATGCGTTCAAGAAGCTCGCCCAGGTATCTCATTAATTGCAACAATTCACAAACCCGATTATTTACAACTACTCGTCACTCAATTTCGCCAACAGTAGTGGATGTTGGGAGGAGATCTGTAAAATCGCACATATTACGATGCGTTATCTGTGTCCAACAAAGAGGAATTCGTGCTCGCCAGCTGATAGGCCAATTACCTTTCGCACGAATAATGTCATCACGACCATTTACCCACACTGGCGTTGACTATGCTGGCCCATTCACAATAAAGACCTGGAAAGGGCGAGGAGCCAAAACCTACAAGGCTTGGATCTGCGTGTTCGTGTGCCTAGCTACATCCGCTGTACACCTCGAAGCGGTGGGCGATTACTCCTCCAAAGGATTCATTACAGCATATCGAAGATCCTCAAGCCACAGAGGCATTACACTCAAAGGTACATACTAAAGGTATTACATTCAGATTGTGGGACAACGTTCGTCGGAGCAGATAAGGATAAAAGAAAATTATTCTTACAAGGGACAACAGAACATCACCCCATCATAAACATACTTACTGAAGACAATGCACGCTGGGAATACAATCCACCTGCAGTACCTCATATGCAAGGAAAATGGGAAGCTATAGTAAACTCTATCAAATTCCACTTAAGACGTTCAACTAGAGGGACATTACTTACTATCAAAGAAATCACGACTCTGCTGTCACAAATTGAGGCCATTTTAAACTCGCGCCCTCTACAACTACTAAGTGATGATCCTGACGATTGCTCAACACTCACACCAGGTCACTTCTTCATCAAAGGACCCCTTAACACGTTATCAGAAGCATCACTAAATGACCTAAACATTTCAATACTATCCAGATGGCAATTCATACAACAGCGAGTACAACAATTTTGATCACAACGGACAAAACACTATCTACAAAAACAACTATCAACATCAAAGTAGCATCATCCACGAAATGAAGTCATAATTGGATCCCTGGTACTCATCACAGATCAAAAGTTACCACCATGTAAGTGGCCCCTCACTAAAGTTATCGAATTACATCCTGGCAAGGACGGATTAACCAGAATTGTTACATTAAAAACTGCCTCAACTATGATCAGAAGACCAATTCGTATTCTAGCAGTGCTGACAGTCCCCACAAAAAATAAGAAATCTAATCATCGAATGAATTGATGATGGCGGGCGGAATGTTAAGGATTGAAGCAGTTTAAGCAGAATTTAAAATTGGGAAAAGTACAAGCTCCCGGACGCTCATGTTTGTAAACACGATTCAGTGAATTCGGGAATCTACGATAATATTTCCGCATAGCAATGCCGATGAACCTTCCAAGGCTGTATCCTGCTAACGTCATGACAAATTTTGGCATAGCAACAGTCATCGATGCTGCTGCCGGCGTCGCTGCTACGTGAATATTTAAGAGCAGCTCTTGACGCGCCAAACACTCTACTAGTAACATTTACTCAGTCACCAATCAACTACCTTCAACATTCAACCTACAGTTATCACCACTGTAGCTATACAAATAATTTATCATCAATTAACAATCAATCTAATAAACCAGCAGTAACGCCACAACAATCATAATCCGTTAAGTCTTATATTCAAGGAGCTCTTGTGCCAAGCGTAATTAAAGAGTGAAATTGACGAAGATATAACACCAACATATATTAACGTATCCCAATAAAGATACACAAGCGTCGGCTTATCACGCACACATAAAACTAGCAACGAATGCACAAACGACGACTCACACATACGCATGAATAGCTACGGTTTCTCACAACTACATCGAAACAGCAACGGCTGTTATGCACATTCCTTGCGACCAAAACGTGACACTCCTCAAGGAAATAAAGATTCACGCTTCGTGCTACTAAGAGTACACGATCTCATCAGCACATAAAATACGGAAGAAACTTCATAGATTTAAGTCATTTATAATCATCATATTAGTGTATTTAATAAAGGAAAAACCAAGATACACTGTATGTGGAATTGAATAATTTCATCTGCCTCCTCTACTTGCCAGCAAACACCTCCACCTAACATCACCGGGAAGTTTTAAGTCTGATCCCAGACAATATGTTAGATTTATAAACACGAATACAACATTGATAAAACAAATTGAAATAGGGGGTAAGAACTAAAAAAAGTGAACAATATAATAAATTGAAATTCAAGGAAACAAATAATGCAAGTTGATACAATTCGTAGTGTAACCTCAAAAATTATTCAAACTATAATAATCGAATCACAAGAGTTTCAACGAATGAATTCATTAAACTAAATTATTTCAAAGGATTTGAATATATCCTTTTAAGTAATTTATATATATCAATGAGTACTCAAGAATGTCAATTTTCGAATCTTTATAATATCACGTTCTATAGGGTCTGGTTTTATTGAATAATAGTAGAAGAATCAAGATTCACATCAAAATCAGAGTTAAATTTATGACATAAAAGGTCAAGGAGGATATTAATTGCCATGTAACGATTATCGTTGGTATTGTAAGAACAACAAGCAAAAATATATTTGTTGAAAAAGCGAAATAGACCTTAAGATTAAAATTCAAATACTACATTATTATTCATCACCAATTTTATTACTTAATTTCATCTGCTCGTTTAATAAACATATTGAATTATACTTTCTATAATTTAAAAAAAGCATAATATACCATGCTCAGAATGGAAAATTAATTTTTTGCAAAAATATACTTCATAAATATTATATAACATAAACTCAAAATATAGTTCACAATCCAAATGTTATATTAAAGAATAAAAATATGCGTATAAATTAGATATAAATATAGTAACGTTGTGTACAAACAAATCAGATTAGTGTAGGCATACAAGTTATTTAGAGATCATTCATTTTTATAGTTTAAACATTTTACTAATTATATCTGGAAATAACAAATGATACAAATGTAATCAAAAGAAAAATTGTTGTATTTGTACACATTACGTTATAAAAATGGGATTAAACTCTCATGGAGGTTCAAAATTAATATAAATATATTATAAATGAGAAAGATATCAGTATGCGAAATCGAAGAGGTCCAGGAAAAAACGTAACAAAGAAAAAACAAAGCCAAAATACTAATGATTGCTCTTTTTTTATTCTTAATTATCAAAGTAAATTTTTATTAAAATATATTTTTTAAGACATAATTAAAAAGAAATAATTAAGCATACAAACAAAAAAATAATAAAAAACATAATTTTCTATAATTTATCAGCGGTTGTTTCAGATACTTCGTATTCACATATTACTTTCTTTATTTTGTGAGCGATACGTTTTCTGGTATCCATCACATTTTAATTTCTAAAAATAAATCTTCAATAACCTCAGTAGTAATATGGTATTATTATTAAATAAGAATTTGTTGAAAAATTTTAATGCTAATTTTATTTGTAATATTAAATAAAATTTTTGCTATTTTATTATTATTATATTATATAAAGCTTATTTATAACTTCAAAAGACTTCAATATATGTAAAATAAGTACTAATTTTCATTTAGTTACTAAAATTAATGTTAAAAAAATAATAAAAAATAATAAAATAGTCTAATATCTACAGTAAATGATAAAGAGCAAAATATTATTATCACCTACTTTAAGAATTGTAGTAATAAATACATGTGAAAAACTATTTTCTGTTTATTTACGGATATTATTCAATTTATGATTTTAAATAAAGAAGAATAAAAATTTTGAATAATTTTAATTTATATGCATTCATCTATAATCTAATTTATTTAATTTCAAGTTGATAAGAGGAAATTTAATATCAGACCAAATTAAAAATAATATAACTAATTTGATATAGTAAAATTTGTTTTTATTAATATTAATAAATATGTGTGATAGCACTAATTTAAAAAATTAAAATACCTATATCAAGTTTCGTTACATTATTTCTTGATATAATAACTTAAGATTTAAAACAGTATTAATTATTTATCTAATAATCAGAAAAATTTTTATTATACTTAATAATAATTTATTAAATAATTTATTCAAATATATTTTCCCTAAGCATAGAAGTATAAGTTGGAATTAAGGTTATACATGTAAAAAAAAACAAAGCAATAAACATTAAAAGCATTTCGTTTTTTACTTTAAAACGCATTGAGTAAGAAAAAATGAGCAAAAAGATAAATTAGAAAATTTGAAAATACGACAAAAGCAATTCTCAAATTCAATTTGAGACATGATTTATAGACCTTTTGTTGACTATTGTTTTTTAAGCACTTGCGAATTCTATCGCTCCTCTTCCTTATTGTTTATTTATTAATTTAATTAATTAATTAAACAATTCAATTAAATTAAAATTTAATTTAATTAAAACAATTTAATTAAAATTATTTAAATATGCTTATTTATTTATAATAATAATTATAATAAATAGCATTATATTTTGAAAATAAGCATTATAAACAAATATTTTTTTAATTTTAAATTTTTATTGAATTTATTTATTCTATAATATGGCAAAGTTGTCACACAAGATTTTTATTAATAAAATCTTATTTCTACATAAAATACTTCTATATAAGCTTTTTTAGTTTGGTTCTGAAGTCATTGAAAGTTGTAATAAGTTGTAATGAATAATAATTACCCCCCCCCCTTTTTTTAAATGTAAGAATTCATGATAAATATAATTTTATCTTAAAATTTATTAATATTATTTCATATGCATATAATACTAAATATATTATTAAAGTTCTTGTTATAAACATAATATTTTTGGTATTAATAATGATATTAAATTATTAAACATATGGTTTGGATGATGTCCAAAAATTATGAATAATTTAATAGAGGTTTGTTAGTTAGTATGTACAAAAAAAAATTTTTATAAAATATTTTAAAAATACGTATATGTAAATGCATTTTTAGTGTACATGTAAATCTTTATTTGACAAAAATAATATACCTAACATAAAGAGAGAAAATAGTCACTATGCGCAATTCTATTGATACACGAGATTTTATATAATATCAGGAAACCGTATTATAATTAAAAATTTATATAAAAGGTATAGTTTGTTATGGATGGATAAGCAGGAAAACATAAAGTGGGTGGCAATGTATCGTAGTGTTTCGTATGTACTACAAATTCATTTGAATTTTTCGCATGTATTTTTTTTCTCTACTCCGGTCATTTTTTTTACTTCCAGCCTAAATAAATTAAATAATAACAAAACATATTAATAATTACAATAATAATTAAATGTAATTATTAATGGATATTTGCATCTACGAATTATATTTGTTTCACGTTATTTTGTTACCTACAATTTGGGACAACATGTGCAATGGACTTTGAACACATTATTTACGGCAGCAATGACGATAGTCAATCTAAGATCTATTTATTTATTAATCTAAAAGAATATTTGTTTTATATGAAATTCAAAATTTAATATAAATTAAATAGAATTCGGATCTTAAGGATCGATTAAAGTCTTTAATTATTAAAATTAAAATGCAGTGAAAAGGAAGAAAACTTTATTGAAATTGTTAATAGAAGGAACAACAGAAAAATAAGGTAGCTAATGATTGCTTATCATTATTATTTACAAATTCTTGGCTTCTTCGAATTATTCATAAATAATAACAATTTCTAATAAGAATCTAAGTAAGCAATTTTTTTTATATAAGTTAATGAAATTATTTGACCATCGTTTTAAAGAACATCAATAAATTTTTTAAGTAACCGAAATACTATTACTATGATACTATTAGTCAATTAAATAGTTATAAAAAGAATGAAAAATCGTAAAAAAAAGAGAGCATTGATAGAAACAAGCAAAATTAATGAATGTTAAATAACATTTTATATCTAAACAATGTGAGAACACTTTGAACGTATCATTAAAATCGATTTAATACATATATTTTAAGTGTTAAAAATTCTAAAATTAGTAGTGCAAATTCTTGTATATT